GATGAGTATGGTGATATGGATTGGTGGTCCAAGGCATCATACAAACTATATGTACAAATCATAATATAATTGATAACAAAGTGGTCAATTAATATGCAGCGTTTCCGAAATGCGGCTACACATCAAACATTGTTCTGGATAACACAGGTTTGGTGTGTCGTCAACAGATCTCAGTCTTGGCTGGGTAGACCCCTGCACTACCATAGGAAAGTATGGTGCATGGTACAAGTTTATATGACCCAAATATACCTTGTAATTTGTAAGATATAAAATTACTGAATGTGTTGATTCATTTTGTGTTACACCAACTGTGCACTACTTTACACTATTCCAGCATCAATATGTAGTGATCAGGCATATGACCCCATCACTAAAATATGCTTTCTGATGCATCAAATAAAATAGTTCCTGTACCATATATATGTGTATTGTATCATTTTGACCATTTACTTTGTGTGGTGGCTGTATTTTTCAATAATATTCTATTCACTGTTTCTAGAAGTTGTGCCCTCTCACAACAAAGTATGTCTGTGTTATTAATGCATATATGGGACACCATATCATATTGGTTTGATCTGTGATTGTCCATACAAAAATTTGCTTTATTATAAATTAAAAATCACTGCACATCCAAATACAGTTGTCAGTTTGAACAGCACACGTCTACTGTATTTTGTATTTTGACATCAATTTACGACATCATAGTAATTGCGTAAAGTGTAAATAAAATAGAATTTGATATGTTTACTGATGTCTAACTGAATATGTAACTCTTGGTAGGTCAAGAAAGAACCAGAGACACGTCAGACATGGATGCAGACAGTGGAAAAGGTACCATGACAAGCTATGGCAGCGTCAACTCGCTCAGTTCCAATCATTCGACGAGTACAACCTCGACACCGGTCATATCCACTGATAATCCCGAACAATTTGAATCTTTAAAGCAGAAAAAAGAGATTGTGGAACAGGGTATTGATATGTTTAACAAAAAACCTCACAAGGGATTGCATTACCTACAGGAGCAAGGAATGCTGGGAAAATCTGCTGAAGAGGTCGCTGCTTTCTTTCATGATGAGGAGAGGATAGATCGGGTATGCTAATTTGCCATTAGTTGTCAGTGATGTGTCACACTGAATACTTGACCTCTGACTCAATCACAGGTCCTTAAATTGTACTGTGCTAAATCAT